GTGCCACTGTGAGGCCAGGGAGGGGCTGGCCCACACTGACCAGGCTGCACTGGGCCTGCCTGACCACGGTTAGCAAAACCGTCTAGAACTTGGAAATCAGGCAAAAGGTCCTTGTGATGTCACGGTGGACATTCTACAGCAGGCCTGGCCAAGGGTTATTTCTCTGCTAACTTATGGGGCTGCTCAGCCATAGGGGACTGTGGCCCTATTCACGCCTCAGGCCGGTGGTTTCTGGTTGGCGGGAGGGGGCCTCCTGGTCCCTGCCCACTGGCTACCAGCAGCACCTGCTCTCCGCACATCTGTCCCGGGTCCTCTTCAACCCTCAGCCGGAGCTGCTGTGTGACCCAAGCACCGCCGACCCTCTCTGGGCTTCACCATAAAGAGCCCTCACCGACCTCTAGGAGCCATCAGCTGACATTAGAGGGGGGATCATCACCCTGAGAAGGTCTCTGTCAGGTGTTCCTCCTCCAGGCAGCCCACCGTCCCCTGTCCGGAGCTGCAGCCCTGAGCCAGGGCCGCGGGACTCCAGCCACGGGCCAAGCAAAGCGCCGGACCCCTGGAAATGTCTGGGGCCACCACTCTTTCCGTTCGAGATGGAAAACGGCCGACCCACCCTGGTGCGACTGAATACCCTCCCGGAGGGCAGTTTTCCCCAAAGTAGTCAACTTCCTAGGGAGCTGAAATGGAACTCAGGCCCCAAATCCGCAATCCTGCACGGGGCGGGGCCAGATCCTCCCGGACCCAGGACCGCGAGCAGCCTGCTGTGCAAGGCGGGGCCCTGGACTGTCCCTCAGGGTGGCCCCGCCCACAGCTGTCCCGCCTCCTGCCCAGCTCTCCCTTGCAGCCCAGCAAACAGAAACCCCGCTTCTGCTTCTGCCGACGCCACGGACTCCCTGGAAACCAGTCAGCGGGGTGGGGACAACAGCTCTCAGCACCCCCCCCCCCCCGCCCCACGCAAGGTGCGTGCGTGCAGGGCCCGGCCTGTTGGACCCTGTCTTTTGGCTCCGCCCCGCCCCTCGGAGCCTGGACTACCTGCAGACCAGGGCTTCCAGGGACTTCCCCACGCTGCCATCACCATGGCAATGCGGCCTTGCAGGGCGGGGCTGGAGGTCACCAGCCTGAGTTCGAGACCCTCCGAGAAGGCAGCGTAGGGTGTCTGGGCCAGGCACCCCAAGCCTCAGTGTCCTCTTCTTATAATGTCCCACCCTCACAGGGGAGCTACAGGGACTAAGACCCTAAACTAAACTGAGCCCCGGACCTGACGTCTCTCGGTAAATGGGAAGCATTTTTATTAGTACCTGGCTTTGGGTAAGAACATCCTTTACCTTAAGCCTCCGTTTTCTCTCCCATAAAACAGAGTGAGGTGGGAGAAGGTGGGACCCCCGGTTCTGACCTTCCAGCTGTTTCTGGTTCTATCTCATGTTATAGACAGAGAGCAAGGAGAAAGGGATGCAGAACCCCCAAATCCCTGTGCTGCCCTTCCTAAGGGAACCCCCCAGGAAGGCGGGCTTGGAGGAAAGGGTTCATCTCGATTCTGTCCAGGAGGGGAAATGGGCAAGCAGCCCTCATAGCTCCTGGCTGAGCCCCTAGGCCTCAGGTTCTGCATCTGTCTAATGGGACTTCCCTGTGGGGCTGGGCTGAGGACACCAGGAGCTTGCTCTGGAAGGCAGCGGGCACCGTGAGCGCTCTCTGAAGCAGAGAGGTCAAGCCCCCGCCCAGCCCTGCTGGTGGTTTGGGGGGTCTGCGTCAGCATCATCCTCCAGCACACAGCCCGCCACAGGGCCTCCAGGCCTGGTGCTGGCCCGAGGGGCTGGGAAGGGGGCGCCGCTTACCAGGCCGAGATTCAGAGAGTTGTTGTCATCCTCCGGCATGGGCATGTACACCGCCAGGGCCACACAGTTGGCGAAGATGGTCAGTAAGATGATCATCTCGAAGGGTCTGGTGCCGGGGTTAAGGAGAGCCCTTGAGTGAGGGTGGGTTTGCAGGGTTAAGGGTAAGAGGGCGCTGAGGGTCACCTGGACTGTGACTCCAACACCCAGCCGAAGGGCCTGGCCCCTCTGCAGGTGGAGAAAGGCCCCGCCTCCCCAGGGGAGCAGGTCCTTCAGGCTTTGAGGCCGAGACACTCTTGGCCCAGGCTCCACTATAAAGGCCACGGAGTCTAAGGCTGCACTCTAAGCAGCCGTCCGCCCCTCCTGCCCTGCCCTCTCCCCAGGAGCCTGACCACCTGGGGGGCTCACTTAGAGAAATGGGGTGATGGAGGAGAGGCTAGGTGCCTGCAGAGAGGGACCAGGAAAGGGGACAGTAGCAAGTGAAACCTGAGCTTTAGACCCTGAGGAAGGAGTGGATGACCACCGAATGGACCAGTACCCCCAGAGACGCGCACAGCCCCCCGACACACCCAGCCCTGCACAACCACCTTCCAGAGTCAGCCCAGGCCAGGCCAGGGTCGGTGGGGGAGCCCAGGGAAAGAGGGGAGGGAGGCCAGCCTACTGGGCAGCCTGGTTTGGCAGTGCAGGTGCAGAGGCTTTCGAGGGAGGGAGCGAAGGCCCAGAGGGCGGAGGAGAGCCCCCCTAAACCAGACCCTGTGGAGGCAGGGAGGGCAGCAGCTGAGGCTGGATGGGGTGAGTACAGCTGAGGGGGCAGGGCTTGCTCTGACTCAAACTATTCCAACCTGGTCCCAGGTTTTCCTGCCTGTTTACTGCCCTTCTCGTCGGGACAGCTGGTGGGAGTCTGGCTCCCAGAACCCTTCGGAAATATTTCAGATATTCCTGACCCTCTCGGAGACGCCTCCCTCCTCCGTATGCCACCTTCCTCCCTTCCCCAAATAACCCAGACTCCTCCATCACCCTCCCGCCCAGAGCCAGCTGAACGGAGGAGGGGCTTCCAGGCCCTGACCCTGGGGGGCGGGGTTGAAGCTCAGGGCCAGGCTGTGGGCCCCGCTGCCTTCCTTCAAGCCCAGTCCCTCCCCACAGCCCATGGCCCTGCTCATCCCCCCTCTTCACTCACTCCTCCCATCAAGGGGAACCCCCCTCCGCCTTAGTCTCCCCCATCCTATCTCAAAAATGAGGCTGTTGCTTCAAAAACCTAAGGGGAACCCCGCAATTATGTGGACTTGTGCACACCTGCCAACAACCCCCAAAACCGCCCAGCCCTGCCACAGACGGTCAGCGTCAGGAGGCATCTCGGTGGTCACCAGGACCTGGCTACCCACTCGGGCCCCAGAAGGCCCCCCTCAGGTCCTCCCCCTCCCCCTCAGCTGAGGCCTTCCTTCCCAAAGGCTCCTCTCTTACAGTCACCCCATCTCCAAGTCCCTGCCTCCCGGCCCCCTTGTGCGTGGTCCGTGGCCACCCCTCCCCTCCCACGCTGCGCACGCGGCCCTGGCCCGGAGGATACTTCCACTCCACGATGCTGATGCAGGCCTTCCGCAGCGGGTTCCGCAGGGTCAAGCACAGCAAGGCCCGGGGGGGCCTGGGCAGAATCTCAGGGACAGGCTTCTTGGGCTGCTTCTTCCTCAGGCCCTCGTCCTGGGGGGAGGATGGCTCCGGCTCCATGTTCCCGGCAGCCTCCCTGTCTCCCGCACCCCACCCCACTGCCCTCTCCTCCCTGCGTCCCCTTTGCCCTGGCCTTGGGGACTGGCCGCTGAGTCTGCAGGGCCAAGCCTGCCGCTGGGCCAGCAGGGGTGGGGCGGGAGGATTACTCTCTGCTCCCAGGGAGTAAAATTAGCCCCTGAGGCCAGGCAGCTGTCATTTCTTCCCAGCCCAGCGAGTGACATCCCAGTATGTCCCGGGGAGGGTGGGGGAGGGTGGCGGAAGGCATTTGGGCCTGGGGGCGGGGGGGGGGGCAGTGGGAGCAGGATGGACCTTTGCGGCTGGGCAAGATCTCAGGAAAGGCAGACCCCAACATGCTCCCCCAACCACAGACAGGCTCCCTTGTGCCAGATTAGCTCTGCCTCCCCAGCCCCGTGACACTGTCCAGAAAAGGTGCCCAGTGGCTGGTCTGCTCAACGCACAGCCCCCTCCCACCTCAGCACCTGCACTACCAGGAGGCCGGGACTCCCCACCCTCACCCGCCCCCATCAGGGAGGTGAACCTCCGCACACAGGTGGAAGGCCCCCAGAACCACCGCTGGGGCACAGCACCTGCCACGTTGGGGTGATGGTGTGCTTCGGGGCCCCCCTTACTGTCCCCGGAGGACATGCTCAGCCCCATGAAAACGTGGTTGAGAACACCCCATACCCTTCACAGCAAGTGCCCAGGTGGAATGGGAGTGAGAGAGACACCGGGCACATGAGGGCAGACCATGGTTCAGGAATCACTCCACACAGTTTATTTCGTCCCTTGGTGCAAACGGTGCCAATATACCCATACGGTCCCACCGCCCACACAGCACACAGCAGACGGAAAAAACAGTCCTCACCCAACGTGGTGGAACAAAAGCGAGAAAAGACACCAGAGCTGAGGACGGGGATGGTGGCCCTCCATCAAGGAGGCCAGAGAGCGCCCCAGGGGGGCAGGAGGGGGCTGCAAACAAGCTCTCGAAGAGGCACTAGCACTTGAGGCGTCTTGTGGCGAGTGGGGCAGGGCGCATTCTAACCAAAGCCTGGCTGGCCTCCTGGGGACGCACAGACCCAGGGCCGTGCCCGTGGCTGGGAGGACGGTGCAGGGCACCCTGGCCGGCTGGGCACAACCATGAGCTTTCCACGGTGCGGGGCTGAAGCGGAACCGGAGCCAGACCCCGAGTGACCGCCCTGGGCGGCTCTCCAGCGGGCTAGGGCAATCGGACGGCGAGGCAAGCTTCCGCAGGCCCTGCTCCCCGCTGCGCCCACCTGGCTCCTTCGTCCCTGTTGGCCGCTCACACCCTCCTCCGGTCGGCAAGGAGGAGGCCGCGGGGGGGTGAAGAGGGGTCGCAGACAGTGCGCACACCTCCGAGGGTCCGGTCCCGCCCGCCCTGACTGCGCAGTCCCCGGCACTCTCGGCAGTGGGGCGGTCCTGCGGCCCCGATCACTGGCTGGGCTCCTCGGACTCCAAACCCGGCGAGGAGGAGAAGCGGGGGCCCTCGGGCTGCGGGGCGTCGCCGGGGCGCTCGGGCCGCGGGCTGTCGGGGGCGGCGCGCAGCAGCTCCTGCAGGTGCCGGATGTAGCGGATGGCGGCGCGCAGCGTCTCCACCTTGCTCAGCCGCCGCTCGGCCAGCGCGCCGGGCAGGTGGCCGCGGAGGCGCGCGTAGCCCTCGTTGACGCAGCGCACGCGGTGCCGCTCGCGCTCGTTGCGCTTGTGGATGAAGGCGGGTTCGAATGGGCAGTCGTAGGCCGCGAGGGCGCCCGGCCCGGGCGCGCAGGGGAACAGGCCGGCGTAGGCAGCGGCAGGGCCCGGGAACAGCAGAAAGGGCACAGCGCCCGGGGGCTCCGCGGGCAGGGGTGCGGGCCGGGGAGGGGGCGCGGTTCCCAACTGCATGCCGCCGGGTGGTGCCGTGGGTGCCCGGTCCATCAGCGCCCGGCAGAAGTGACCGTTCATGGCGCCACGGGGCGCTGCAGCCAGAGCCAGACCCTCCCCGAATCGCCCCTGTTCGGGGTCTGTGCGTCCCCACCACGGGGACGGGTCACATCGCCAGCAGCAGCTCGAGGGTTCCAGGACTGGTTAGGGTTTCTCTTCACTCTCTGGGGTGGGTTCCGCGGTCCCCCTAATGGGCTCCATCGCTGTGAACTGGGGTGGCGCCTGGCAGAGACTCAACAAGCACAGGCTAGAACCCAGCCCGGTGCCGCAGGACCCTGGGCCCGCACTCTCCTCCACTGGCCATGGGCACCCGCCTCGCCCGAAGCCCCGCGTGGGTGCCTCCCGCGGGCGCGAACCCCGCGGCTCTGAGCTGGGGCTGCAGCGTTGGGCCTGGTTCCGCTCTGCGTTGGAGACCGGGCTGCTCGGAGGGTCGGAATGACGGCTGCTGTCAGGACCTCGCCAGCTCCCCAGAGGGTCCCAGGGAACCGTCCTAAGTTAGAGGAGTGGACAGACAATTCGGTCAGGAAAGGGCCACAGTGATGGGCCCCCGTCACCCCTCCCCGCCCCAGAAAGGAACTGTAGGCTTTGTGAGGGGAGTGGGGGCTGCTGACGAGGAGACAGAGAGCAGGTTCCGGCCCTGGGTTCACCCTTCCTGTCGACAGAACTAAAACACCCCCACATGCCCGGCTGCTGTGGCTCAGTGGCTGAGCATCAACCCTGCACCAAGAGGTCGCCGGTTCGATTCCCGGTCAGGGCACATGCCCAGGTTGTGGGCCTGATCCCCAGTGGGGGCATGCAGGAGGTGGCCCACTGATGTTTCTATCTCTCTCCCTCTCCGTTCCTCTCTCTCTAAAATTAATAAAGAAAAAAAATTTCAAATAAGTAAATAAAACACCCCCACAGGAGGGTAATAATACATGAGAATAGAAAAAATGTACCACAAACATCTCCAGGCCTGACTTATGACAAGTGCCGATGGAATCCTGCCCTCGCGGGGTCTGGTCACTGATACCTTCCAGAGCCTTCTGTCCGAGGGGCTCAGAGACAGTCCAGCTCCAGGAGCTGCACCCCTGGGAACCAGATGAGCAGCCCCCTTGCTCAAGCTCAGAAAAACTCAGAAGTGGGACCCTCCCGGCTCAGAGACCTCCAAGACCGGCAGAAGCCTGGCAGGACCTGCTCTGATCCACGGACTGGGCAGAACCAGTGGTCCACAGCGCCCCCGTGTGGCCACGAGACGCTGTGGCGGCAGCAGATGGAGTTCCAGGTTCAGAGCTGGGGCCAGAGGTTTTAACTCCCTTATAGCTTCCCGTGGGGACTGTGGGCGTGCCCAGGCGTTTGGGGGGAATTTGGGTGGCACCAAACGGAGTTACCAGTCTCTGATATTGTCAGCGAGGCAGGGACAGCCTTGGGAAGAGCTCCCAGAGGCTGAGACCCTGGGGTGTGGCTACGAAAGACCTCAGACCACACATCCACCCCTGCATGCCCTGGGCATGGTGGGCACTGATGCCCACGTCCAGCTGCTTCCCACAGTCTCTCCTGTCCTGGTAGGAGTCTAAAGGAATCCCCCCACACACGGGCCTGGTTTTCTTTTCTCAAGTCTTTAAGAAATAGGGCAGCCCAGCCAGTGTGGCTCAGCGGTTGAGCGTCGACCCTGCACCAAGAGGTCACCAGTTTGATTCCCGGTCAGGGCACATGCCCAGGCTGTGGGCCCATCCCCAGTGGGGGGCCTGCAGGAGGTGGTCAGTCGATGTTCTCTCTCATCGATGTTTCTGTCTCTCTCCCTCTCCCTCCCTTTCTCTCTAAAGTCAATAAAGAAGAAAAATTTTGCCCTGGCCGGTTTGGCTCAGCGGTTAGAGCGTCGGCCTGCGGTTCAGAGAGACCCGGGTTCGGTTCCCACTAAGGGCGCGTACCTCGGTTGCAGTTTGTCCCTGGCCCTGGTTGGTCGTGCGGGTGGCAGCCACTCAATGTGTCCCTTTCACATGTTTCTCTCTCTCTCTCTACCTCTCATTCTATCTGAACAAAAAGTGGGAAAAATGTCCTTGGGTGAGGATAAAAAAAAAAAGAAGAAAAAACATTTTTAAAAGAAATGGGGCAACGGAAATACTGTGCATGGATTCAGTGTGGGTCCATCCGCCTGTCCATCCGCCTGCCCACGAGCCCCCAGGGACCCATGCGGCCCGGCTCTCAGGGGCAAGCTCGGAGCTGTGCCGGGGTGGCTGAGAGCAAAGCGCATGCTGAGCCCGTGCCTGCCGCACACCCTGCGCTTTGCACCTGCTGGACTCTGTCCTCAGGGTCTGCGCCTCGGACAGTGCCCCTTACAGACACGGAGATGGAGGCTCAGAGAGGCATAGCCGCCTGCCCCAGGAGCACAGCAGCTACACGGCCAAGCGCGTGGCTCCACGTGGGTGCTGAGGACCTGACCACAGACTGTCACGACAAGGTGCCCTCTCATCGCCACCGCTGCCTGACCTACCGTCTGTGGTACCTGAGCAGCTACCGGGGCCTGAGCCTGAAGGTCAGCACTTTCTGTCCGTGCTGCTTCCTCGGGCACAGAGGGAGGAAGTGCGGCATGTTTGCAGGGACACGGTCTCTGCTCACTTCACAAGGAGGCACCGCGATTGCTGCGGCCGCTGACTCCATGCCCTCGAGGGAACTGTCCATCCCCACGTGACTGGTGGAGAAACTGAGGCTCAGAGTGTCAGTGAGCCTAAGGCAGACCATACTTCCAGGGAACCGCAGGGTTAAAAATTTTTTTTCTTTATTGATCTTCAGGGTTAAAAATTTTTTTTCTTTATTGATCTTTTAGCGAGAGAGAGACAGAGAGAGAGAGAGAGGAAAGAAGGAGAGAGAGATAGAAACATCGATGAGAGAACATCGATGGGCCTCCTCCTGCATGCCCCCCACTGGGGATCAGGCCCACAACCTGGGCATGTGCCCTGACCGGGAATCGAACCGGCACCCTCTTGGTGCAGGGTTGATGCTCAACCCCTGAGCCACACCGGCCGGGCTGAACAGCAGGGTTTTAAAAGCAACACGATGCTGCCGTAGTCCTCGCTCTGTGCCAGACACTCGTCTAAGCTCGTGGGACTCCATCAGCGGTAGATGGGACAGCCCAGGACCAGCAAATGGCCTGTGGTCAGCCAGCTGCTCAGTGGCGGAGCTGGGACTTGGCTGGGCAGTGGGCTCTGGAGGCTGCGCCCCACCCACGGCCCTGCACCTCTCCAGCTGTCTCCCTTGGCCACACACAGCCCGGTGCTCCCTGGCCTCCAGCCTCTGCATCTTACTCCTTTCCAGGTGAGTCCTCCAGCTGCCGTGCACCCAGAAGCGACGTGCTTCAGTCTCTTGTGCACAACAGGCCACAGCCCGTGCCAGGGGCTCTCCAGCCGGCAGCAGCCCCTCGCCTGCCTTCCCCCCCGCCAGCCGGAGAGGCTGGGCTGTTTTGCTTCCTTTGGGAGGTAAGCGTCCAGTGACTAAGCCCCAGTGAACCTGTTCTCGGCCTCACACCCCAGCCGCCACCCCGTGCAGTTACCTCCTGGTTGGCTCCTCCAGCAGCCGTGCTGGGCCCGCAGCGACCTGCAGCCTGTGGGCCTGAGGCGGGGCCGTGGGACCTCGATGCTGCCGCCTGTCCTGTCCTGGCGTCTCGCAGCCTCTGCTCGGCACCAGGAGCCAGGTACACTTCACCTGACGGAGCTTCAAACGGCGGCGGCGACACACCCAGAAGGGGAGGGAGCAGGGCGGAGGGCTCCTCTGATCTGGGATCCGCCTGAGGAGGAGAGACTCCTGGCCTCTGTGATTGGCCACCTGAGTCCCTAAGGGCAGCTGGTGATGCTGTGTCCCCAGAATGCGGCCCAGCTGAGCACCCTGGGCGGGACGACCCGCCTGGTGGAAGTGTGTGGGTTAGAGCAGGCACCTGCGAGTGTGCAGGCAGGAAGACAGGGGTCCCCCAGGGTTAGGGGGGCACAGCTCTCTCTGACAACACCAGCTTGGGTGTCGGGGCTGTTAGGTGACCCCTGGGCGCTCCTGGGCTGGACTGGGGACTAGGAAGCTGCAGCGTTTTGGGTCCACTCAGCATCCGCCCTGAGCCCCCTGGCCCCCTGGCCCCTTGGCGCCTGCAGAATAAAGACCCTGCTTGGCACTTTCCACCCCCAGTGACCCACGGGGAGCCTGAGATGGAGCTGACAGAGGTCAGCTGGGACCCAAACCAGCGCACTGGCACCCCGGCCTCCCCAAGTTCCTGTCGCAGCCCAATGGCACTTGCTGCTTTGCTAATATTTTCTTTACACGCACTCAACCCCTTTTCTTGTCCTTCACAATAATGTCCGCGAAATCTTGCAGCTGATGTACTGACTACACCTCTTTTTTTTCTGATGCTCATTAAAACAATAACTACCACCTGACACCGCCTCGTGGGTTAGCCGCGTTTTGGGGAAGAATGAGCGGCTTTAACCTCCTCCCTCTCTGTCGGGAGAAGCCAAGGTGCAGGACAGCACCTGCTGCTCCAGGTCACACAGTGAGCCAGGCCGGAGCCAGAGCTCCTAGCTTGCAGCTGGAGCCCTACCCTCCATGTCCACCCTGAGCAGAGAAGCCCAGTGCCCTCGGGGTCAGCCTACCTGCAGCCTTGGCTCCCCCTCAGCTCCACTCCTGGGGCCACCGGGGGCCGAGGGAGACATCACAGCAGCACCCTGGGGAGGTTCTGAGGTTTGACAAGGCTGGACTTAACGGCAGGTCTGGGTTTTCTGGTCACAGAGTGGGAGGTGCCTGTGAACTAGCAGAACCCTGACCGATGGGCGGGGGTAAAGCTGTAATTAGCAGGAGGAATGATAGCACAGCCACACTCAGACGGCTTCCTATGCAAAAGGCTTATTCTGTGTGCTTTGTACATTAAAGACTCGTTCCTGACAACCCAGGGCAGGAGGTAGTCCCTCCATCCATAGCGAGGAAACGGAGGCAGGAGTCCTTCAAACGTCCTTGGTTGCCCGCTAGTAAGTAACAGTTGGCATCTGCCCCAGGCTACTAAGCATGTATCTCGACAGCCCCTCTTTACTAAACAGAGGACTGGTCTTGGGGTTTGGGGCCTGGACCCCTGCAATGGTCACCATCATTTGATGGGTGCTCACCACAGGTGGGGCCTGGGCCCTGGTGTTTTAGAGACAAGACGACTGGCTCGGGGCTGGTGGAGTGGCCACAGGGCCAAGGGGTTGATGAGCCTGGTCCATCCCGGAGGGCAGTGGGGCACAGGTCTGGGTGTCTGTTCCCACCCTTTTAGCTACTTCTCCACCAGGCTCTGCTCTGTCCTCACCCCCCACCCCCCGACAGGAGTGAGCTGTGGGATCTGGGGACAGCGCCTCCCCCTCCGTGCCTTCCTGCACCACCTGGGTGAGCACGTGTCTCAAGGGCCCATCAACACCCCTTCCTGCAGCGGCCCCACCCCAGCACCCCTGACAACGGGCTCTAGGGCTGCAGGCCAGAGGGCCGGAGGTCATGGCCTCAAGGCCTCCCCGACGTCAGGAAAGAACAGCAGCCTCAGGAGACGGTTCCGCAGGAGGTAGGTGACGTTATCTCTGCAACGTCCCCTGAGAATGAAGACACGGGTGGGGGCGGTGGTGGGAGTGTGGAGGGGACAGACTTCCACCACCTGGAGGGCAGCCGCTGGGCCTTGTGAGGGATGTGGGGACGCAGACAAGGGAGGAACCTCCAGGTTTCGGGCTGGAACAGCTGGGTGGGGGTGGTACCCCTGGTTCGGATGAAGAACAGAAAAGAGCCGAAGATGAGTCGAGCCTTGGTTGCTCGTTCTGACGGGCTCCGCGGCACCAGGGCGGGGGCGGGCCTGCTGAGCCCAATGGACGGGGCGGGTCTGGGCAGAGACAGACCTCTGGCACTAACCCTGGAGACCATGAAGGAGAATACACGTTTGGGGGGATGCTGAAGATAGATGGAGCAGAGGGGCTGAGGGGGCCCTGGGGAGTAGCAACATCAGGGAGCCGCGCAGGGAGCCCAGTGGGCAGCGAGGGCCCCGGAGCCACGCGGAGAGGTTCATGGAGGGCCCGCCGTGGCCGAGGGTTCTCGCCTCAGCAGGCGAAGCAGGACCCCTGTGCGGCCTCACTGCAACCTCACTGCGGAGGGTCCGGGGAAGGACCGAGGCGGAGGTGGGTGGACGGCGCGGAGACAGGTAGGCGTGTCCCCTGGTGGACGTGGGGCCCACAGAAGGCACTTTGAGGGCAGGAAACCTGAGCATGTTGACAGGACAGGAGGCAGGTGAGGCTGAAGAGGTGCTGGAGGCCCGGGTGGGGGCTCGGAACAGGAGGGGTGTCTACCCCAAGACCACAGCGAAGGTCAGGACCTGGACGACGACAGTGTCAGGTGGGCAAGAGCTCAGCTCCCGGGGCCGAGGTCACACCTGTTTCCGTGGAGTGAGGCAGGATTTCGAGGGGGCGGAGAAGTACGGGAAGGCCCGGTGACCCCTGGAGTGAGCCTCGGTGAAGCATGAACCCAGAGGACCCGCGGCCGCGAAGGGGATGGGGGCAACCACGAGCCTGCAGAGCCCTGGTGGCCCCTGAGCAGGGCGGGCCGCCCAGGGAGCAGCAGGCAGTGAGGTTAGAGCCTCCCCGTGGGGCAGAGCACACGGGCCCGGGAGCCTCCGCGCCCTGGTGGCCCCAGTGGGTGTCGGGTGTGCGGGCACCAGGGTAGAACGGTCCTGGGTGCTGGTTTCTCTGCCCGGCCTCCGTCTCTGGCACGGGGACCCGTCAACCCCACCGGACTTCTCGACGGCTGAGCACACCAGCTCAGGGTTCCCCGACAACTGTCGCCTCGGCTGCTGCTTTTCTGGACGCCGGCCTGCACGCCGCCCCTCGCCCACCGCGGGCTCTGAACTCTGCAGACTGGAACCCGCCTCACCAACGCCAGAGCTCCTCCCGGGGGTCTCAGCACAGGTAAGGGACAGCCCTTGGGACAGACGCCCAGGTCACTGGTCCCTCCAGCTCCGTTGCTGCCTGGGCCCTGGACCCCACTTGAGGTGGGATGGAGCTGACCCAGCACCGGGGCCTCTGATGGCCCCTGGAAGCGGCTGGCACTCTTCTCCCGGGTGCTGTTTCCTGCGGCCCCACCCCTTGACACCTGGTGGGTTTTATGTGGGGAAACGGGTTCGCAGTGAGCACCACCGGCTGAGACACGGACAGCGGGCGCGGCTGTGTCAGGAGGAACAGAAAGGGTCTCAGGATGACTCCCGAGGGCTCCCGCTCCTGGAAGAGGTCGGACCGTGAGCAGCCGCATCCAGCCCCCCGTCTCACCCTGGCCGCTGAGCAGACCCCGCTGTCCGCCCCCAGGGCTGTGTCTCCGCCTGGACCTGCCAAGGACACTGCTCTGTCCTCTCTGGACACAGCACTTACCAGGTCACAAATAAATACTTAGTTCTCAAAATCTCTTGAAGCCGAACAGTGAGAGAAATATGATTTAATGGTGCCTCCGTGACTCGTGGACAGCGGAAGGACACACGTCCTCCCCATGCAGGGGTACAAGGGGACTCGGGGACAGTGGAGACCCAAGGACAGGAGTCTCTCGTGTCACATGGCGCCAGCACCCGCCTGGCTTCCTGAAGTGGGGGGAGGGGCCGGCAGCAGTCAGCACGGACACAGCCCTGCCCGCCCACGGCGAGGACCGCAGGGAAGGGGACAGGCGTCCCGGAGGCCTGAGGGCCAAGCGGGCTCAGTGGCATCAGCTGCCCGGTCAGAGCCACCCTGCAGCGGGGCCAGGCAGCGGGCCGAGGTATCGGGGTTGGGAGGGAGGGGGCACGAGGTGCATAGCAGGGGGGAGCTGTGCTGACGGGGTGTCTGCCCCCCGAGTGGCGATGGTCCAGCTCCGCCTGCCGGAGGGCCAGGACTTCCCCGACATTCAGGGCTGTAAAGGAAGCACCCGAAACACCTTCCTCCCCGTGGGCTGCAGCCCCCTCCCCTCGACTCCAGAGACCTGAGCAGACGCGCTAGAGACCCGGACCCAACCCTCTTCCCCAATCAGATCAGCGGGAACGTTTCAGAGGAACGGAGGCAACTCCACGTGCTGTGCAGGGAAGACCGCAGGGGGCCAGGGAGCGGGAGACGCCGCCCCGCCCCGTGAGCCGGAAGCGGCGTCCTGGCCGGCGCCGTCTAGCTGAGCATCTTGTGCCGGTCGAACACCGTCTTCCTCTGCTCCTGCACCTGCAGCTTCCAGCGCTGCTGGGCGCCCTCCACGCGCTCCAGGACCGTGTTGGCTCGGGGCCCCCCGAGGGAGGCCGGGGCGGCCGCCATGGCGCGAGCGTCCTGCAGCGGGAGGGAGAGGAGGAGACATCGGGGTCTCGAAAGCAACCCCAAAGTCAGAGCCTGACCTCCCCAAGGCCCTGGGACACCCCAAGTTGTGGAACCTGCAGGATGGCCCCTGCCCCCCACCCCGAGACTGGGAGAGGGGCGCTCAGGAGGACAGTCGGGGTCCCCCTTAGGGCAGCTCGAGTCAGGTCCCTGGAGGCACCACACGGGCCTCTTTCTAACCCAGAGAGGAAGACCCGGTGTTGGGCACAGGGTCAGTGCAGAGGCCAGGAGCCCGGGTGGCAGGTGGGAGGAGCCTGCACAGCTGGGGGCCCATGGGAGCTGCTCCATGGACGTGACTTCATGCAGGGCATGGCCAGCGCCCCCACCCAGACCCCCTGCCCACTCTCTCCTTGGACAGAGCAGGACGGCTCAGCCCCTCCGTCCTGCCCCCGGTCCCTTCCCCTTTGCTCTCAGCCACTGCCGTCGTCAAAGGCAGCATCCACCCCTAATTACCACCTCTCTCCCTCTGAAGCCCATGCATTTCCTGCAGGACCCGAACCTGATCTTTGGGGGAATTAGAGCTGAGGGCCAGGCCCACACCCCCACGGGGATTTCCTCCCCAGCTCTCCCTGCCTCTCATCTCCTGCCACCCGTCTCTTAAGGGATTAGCGCAGCTCTCTGAGCCCAGAGCCGCCCAGTAAATGCAACTTTGCTTCTATCGCCTGGGCTGGCACAGCTTCTGTCACCAACAGCTGCCAGGCTGCAGAGGGGGCGCTGAGGGGAGCGTGAGGAGGCAGCGACGCGGGCAGTTGCAGAGGGGTCCAGCTAGGGGTGAGGCTTGGGGGTGGCTCACTGTCACCACGAGCTGAGTCCCTCATCTCACGAGCCCTGCCGCCTCAAAGGTGGGCGGTGTCCCCAGGAGGCCCACGTCCAGGGCTGAGGAGGGTCTGCGCCAGGCGAGGGGAGGCCTCTGTGGCAGCTCCGGGCAGGGCACACCGGGCCTGGGGCCAGGCAGGACTCTCCTCCTGCCTCCGGCTCCCCTGGGCCCGTCTCAGGGTCCACCCTGGGCACCGGGAAGGAGGGACAGTCCCACCACTCAGCAGCTGGTGTCCCTGGACAATGACTTCTCCAGGCTCCAACGAATAATTTAATAAGTCGAGTCTTTCAGATTTTTCTGCCCACAGCGTCAGTAGGGACCACACGCGTGCACACACACGACACGATAGAAAGGTCTCACGTGGAACCATAGGGCACCTCTCTGCGCTCTGCTCCCCAGCTCCTGCTTCAAAACGCGGGTCACAACCCGAAGTTGACGTCATGACCAGCGGGGCTGTGACCCACGAGACACGGCTCACGCCCGGGAGGTGGGCCTGGCGAGGTGCCCAAGCCGCGCGGTCACAGGGCAGGGGCTCGGGCACGTGATCTCTTCTCCCCCAGTGCAGCGCGGTGGGGGGGACACTGTGGGCTCACACCTGGGCTCTGACACCCCCAGAGCACGACCTAGGCTGGGTGACATTCTCTGAACCTCCGTCCCTGTCCATCTGCGAGACACGAATACAGAGCCCTCAGCACTCACCATGGGAGCCCGGCTCTGGGCCTAGGCAGGGCCGGGGCGAGTGGGCAGCCTGCTGCCAAGACCCTGCCTCTGAAAACGCCCGTGGCCTGTGCACCTCTCAGCTCTGCTCCCTCCCGACTCGGCAATGCCAGGGGCTCTCGCGGTGCCGAGGCCTCCGCGTGGCCGTCTGGGTGAGGTGGACATGGAGCTGTGGGGCCACAAGGCCTCTCTGCTTCCGCACCCCGACCTTGTCCCTTCTGGGGGCAGCGAGGATCTGGGGGAGCCCCGGAGGCAGCTGGAGGACAGGGAAAGTCTCGGGGGAGGAAGCCAGAGGGCCGGGGCGGCGCACTGGGGAACGTGACCCCACGCACCATGTGACCCCAGCCTCACCCTTTCCCCCCACACAAAGTCCTCAGTGGGGGCTGCCGCCGAGAGGCTGTGCCAATCATCTGATTGAAGGCACTGGAGACACCATGTCTGTTCAGATGCTCAGCTGAGGGCAGGACGGACACGGTCCCAGCCTCCTCCCTCCGAGGCGGGTCCCACCATCACACCACCAGGCAGGTGTGAGACCCGCGTGAAACGCCTCCCTCTCCGGGACACAGCAGCAGATCGAAGCCCCGCAGGCACCCTCGTGTTGGGTGAGAACCACGTGGATTCCAGGCTCCAAGAAGCAAACGGGGGTTCAGCACCACGGACAGCGACCGGCAGGCACAGGTTGGGGGCCAGAGCCAGGGCTCCTGAGCAAGGGGGGGCGCATGGCTGTTCCAGAGACGCCTGTCCACCCTTCCTGTCCTGTCCGCACCGGGGACGAGGGAACTGGCCCTTCCAGCGGGTCCTCTCCATGTTTCCTCGTCAGCTCCCCGGAACCAGGGGTCTCCCTCGGTGCTGCACCCATGTCTGGAGCAGGGGACAGGTCTAGTGGCCCCGTGTCCTCCCCATCCCATCCCTTCATGTCCCCAAGTGCCATCACCATCTTTCCTCCATTCCTCACTCACCCCCTTCCCACAGGGCCCAGCTCTGTCCCCCAACCCCGGGGGCAGATCTCTGGGGCCCAGCTCTGTCCCCAAACCCCAGGGGGCAGATCTCTGGGGCCCAGCTCTGTCCCCCAACCCCAGGGGGCATATCTCTGGGGCCCAGCTCTGTCCCCAAACCCCAGGGGGCAGATCTCTGGGGCCCAGCTCTGTCCCCCATCCCCAGGGGGCAGATCTCTGGGGCCCAGCTCTGTCCCCCAACCCCAGGGACAGATTCTGGGGCCCAGCTCTGTCCCCCAACCCCAGGGGGCAGATCTCTGGGGCCCAGCTCTGTCCCCCAACCCCAGGGGCAGATTTTGAGGCCCAGCTCTGTCCCCCAACCCCAGGGGGCAGATCTCTGGGGCCCAGCTCTGTCCCCCCACCCCAGGGGGCAGATCTCTGGGGCCCAGCTCTGTCCCCCCACCCCAGGGGGCAGATCTCTGGGGCCCAGCTCTGGCCCCCAACCCCCGGGGCCGATCTCTGGGGCCCAGCTCTGTCCCCCCACCCCAGGGGGCAGATCTCTGGGGCCCAGCTCTGTCCCCAAACCCCAGGGGCAGATCTCTGGGGCCCAGCTCTGTCCCCCAACCCCAGGGGCAGATTCTGAGGCCCAGCTCTGTCCCCCAACCCCAGGGGGCAGATCTCTGGGGCCCAGCTCTGTCCCCCAACCCCAGGGGCAGATTCTGAGGCCCAGCTCTGTCCCCCAACCCCAGCGGGCAGATCTCTGGGGCCCAGCTCTGTCCCCCCACCCCAGGGGGCATATCTCTGGGGCCCAGCTCTGTCCCCCCACCCCAGGGGGCAGATCTCTGGGGCCCAGCTCTGTCCCCAAACCCCAGGGGGCAGATCTCTGGGGCCCAGCTCTGTCCCCCCACCCCAGGGGGCAGATCTCTGGGGCCCAGCTCTGTCCCCAAACCCCAGGGGCAGATCTCTGGGGCCCAGCTCTGTCCCCCCACCCCAGGGGCAGATCTCTGGGGCCCAGCTCTGTCCCCCCACCCCAGGGGGCATATCTCTGGGGCCCAGCTCTGTCCCCAAACCCCAGGGGGCAGATCTCTGGGGCCCAGCTCTGTCCCCAAACCCCAGGGGGCAGATCTCTGGGGCCCAGCTCTGTCCCCCAACCCCAGGGGCATAGATTCTGGGGCCCTGCTGGGAGCAGCACAGACACCCAGCCCTCAGAGAAGCCTGCCCCCCCTCTTCAAAGAGAACCAAACCCATACATCTGAGCAGCTCTGCTCCTGGCCCAGCAAACAGGCTCACTTCCTCCTTTCAAAGGGCGTCTGAGCCGGGGATTAGGCCTAAAGCTGCTGGAATGCCAGGGAGGCAGCCCAGCGCCCAGCCTGCCAGGTTTCAAAGGCACAGGCCGGCTTTCATCTCCCTGCGCGGCCGCGGCCGCAGGAGCTGGGGATGGAGCCCAGGACCCCAGTCCTGGGGCGTGATCAACCTCCAGATCTGACCTCTGGCTGGGTCCCCGACTTGGGGAGGGGGAGGGGCGTGGGGTGGAACCCAGGGCCCTAGGTGGGGCGTCCTCACGGTCATGGAGCTGCACAGGCCAAGGCGAACTTCAAAGAACCTGAGAGGCCCTGCTCCTCCTCTTGGGGTGCAAGCGAAGTCCTCCCAGCCCAGGGGAGGTCCCCTCTTTGTCTTCTTAAGGGAAACTCTCCAGACCACAGATAAACCCAGAGACACAGCCTCTGCCCAGTGGTCAGCCCAGTGGCCTTGGGACCTGCTGCTCTGCCCCACCCCTACCTCCACCCCCACCCCATCCCCACGTGCCCCGAGAGGGGAGGGCCAGCAGGGTGCCCTCACTATCCAGGACAACAGGACCCCTCAGCTCCACTCGGCTTTGGGGCGCCCTCCCAGCAGTTGAACGGTCACTGTCCTTGGAGCTGGCTCTGAAACTCCCCCTCTGCCAGGAAGCCCTCCCAGACTGACACAAAGGAAGGATGAGTCCCTAACCCTGGTCTAGGAAAGAGCCTCCCACGGCCTCCTCCCTGACCACCCGGCTCCAAAGCCGGATCCTGCGCTGGCCTCCGCGTTCCCTGCCGGCTCCCTGGTCCGGGCTGCCTCGGGGCAGACCCTGAGGGCACAGTCTGTAAACCTCACAGAGCAGCTGTGGGCGTCTGCGGGCAGAGGGAGGGGGAGAAGTGTGTGCCCCAGAGGGACGGCCAGGAGCACTTAAGACGGGGTTACAAGAGGCGGTGTGGAGTAACAAACGAGGTGGCAGTCCTAGTTTGGGGTGCCGGCAGGGGGGCAGGCCCCTCACAGCTGCCTGGTGGGCATCCTGTGGCCACGGTGCAGAGCTGGTACCTCAGGTCAGGTATCAGACTGCACACACACTGCATCATCTCCAGAACCTCCCTCTCCCAGCACCCCTGCCCTGCCCCCAGGCACCCCGACACATGGCTGCAGCATCCCTCACTCAGCCAAAGCCTCCCCCAGATGTCCACCCTCCAGTTCAAGTTCTGCTCCCGGAACTAGACTGACCACATCCGACTCCTCCCCCCAGGGCCCCTCACTCAGAGGCAGATGTGACTCAAGACTCAAAGTGGGGAGCCCCCCCAGGGGACAGGGCCTGGGTTCAGCCCCCAGGGTGCGGCTGCCCCTCCCTTGGCTCCCGGGGAGGAGACGGGGACTCGAGGCTGCGCTGGAGCCTCGCATTCCGGGGAAATCATGCCTGGGCTGTAATCACCGCGCATCTCTCAATTACGCTCCAGCCAGGACTGCAATTACCACATTACCCTAATCGCCGAGTGTTTATTAGCGCTGCCCCCCCGCCCCAGAGCTGCGATTACTGTGCATTAATAACCAGGTAAGCATGTGGGCTTCCTCCTGCACACAGACCACCCAACTCCAGCGCCGCCACCTCCATCGGGCAAGGTTCAGGCTGCCCCACCTCCGGCCAAACCCGTGAGCCACAGCGGGGGGCAGCTGGCACCGTCCACCGTGTACCCAGCAGCAGCCGGCCCAGACCCGTGCCCCCCGGCAGCTTCACACTCAGCTCTCCGCCCCTTCGCACCTCCACCCTGTGCTGCAAACGCTCTGAGCCGGTGACCTTGGTACCCTGAACCCCAAACTCACTGCCTTACTGCTTCTGACAGTGTTAAGTGCCCCACCCCGGCCCCCAGCTGTGGGTCCTGCTGCCCTTGGCCCTGCTCAGGACGAGGCCAAGCTCCGTCTGAAGCTCTGTGATCCTGCCTCCTGGACGCCCACCACCAACCCCAGCAACCAGGGCGCCCCACGAAACACGGAGCCCCAGGCTCGCGCCCCCTGCCCGGGGCAGTGTACGGAAGACACACGCTGTCCCCTTGGCTGCCCAGTGCTGGGCATCCGGGGAAATCCAGGGCCACGTCCCCCGTGAGGTGCCGTGCGGCACACCGAACGGGAGCGCGAAGGGCAGGACCCCGCCTGGCCCGGGTCCGGCGGCGCGCAGCAGCCCGGCCATTACCTCGTTCTCCTCTTCGTTGTGCAGCTGCTCGGTGTACGCGTCCGGCTTCCGGATCAGAGGGTCCACCAGCATCAGGAAGGCCATGTACAGCAGCAAGGCCCCCACCACCGACAGGTAGATGACAATGACGACCTGAGGGGACACCGCGCCTGTGACCAGCCGGCCGGGCCGCCTGCGTTCGGTGCTGCGGGAGGGAGGGCGGAGGCTGCGGGGCGCAGGGACACAGGGCCGGGGACGGGCACCGCCAACGCAACGGGTTCACTCGCTGCCCAAACTGGGTCCCACGGGCACGTCGGTCTCCCGCGGCCAGAGAGGAGAGATGGTGAAAAGTGGGGACCAGGACATGCTGAGATAGATGCACGGGGTGCGGATGGGCAAGGGCCCGCCAACAGGGGCGGCCGGGAAGGGCTGAGCGCGGAGGCCGAGGACGGATCGGGTCAGCGGTCGCTCCCCAGTGCCGAGAGTAAGGCGGCTGAGAGGGAGCTTCAGTTCTGGGGACACAGCCCGGGGTGGAGGGGGACGGTCACCCTGCAGGGAGTGGAGGGCCAGGGACAGGAGGGCAACCTCAAGTCTCCTCCGTACGTGGAGAGCTCACAGCTGCAGTGACGTGTGTTTTACAGAAAAGACAGCGTCAAAGGCGAATTCAATGTTTTTCAATGTGGGTGCCCTGGGCACGCTGGACAGCACTGCCCGGGACACAGCACCATGGTCCGGGAAGGGTGTCTATGACACCCTCAGCTACTGGAACCTCAGACACACCTCACGTGCCCCCTGGAGGGCTGTAGGTGCCTGGCTGAGGACCACAGGGTCAAATCCTTCAGCCAAGGTCCAAGGGTAGAGACTGGCCGGGTGCCACTGAGCCGGGTTTGAGGACCCCTCCTGGAGAGCTCCCCCACCTCCATCCCAGGCCTCTGACCCCACCCGCCCTGGATGGACTGAGATGAAGGGGCGAGAGGAGAGGGACCTGGGGACCTTGAAATGTGCTGCCCGGCTCAGTCAACACCAAGTTCAAGGAGATCCACCTCCCCGTGACCAGGCGTGGAGTTCAAGCCTCTTTCAACAGGGTAAGGGGCCCTCCTGCCCGTCATGGGGAGGGGAGGGATGGAGCCTGCAGGTGGGGCGTACCCCTGGGAGAACTGCTGGGAAATTCGAGGGATCAGGAAGTGTGTCTGATGCGTCCCCGCATCGGGAAGTCCCTTCCCCCCAAAGGAGAGGCAGTGGCGGTGGGCTCAGATCTTAAGGTCTCAGGCGGCTGGTGGCCAGAGGGCGGGGCCCCTGGAGCGAGTTCAGAGAAGGAGAAGAAAAGGTGCTGCAGGAGGGGGATCGGCACAGCCTGGGGCGAGGACAGAGGGTGGGGGACAGGCAGCTACTTCCCCGAGAGGTGAGGGCCACCACCCTCCAAATGAGCCTTGAGAGAAACTGAGGGGGACTCAGCGGTGTGGCTAAATTCCCAAGTTCCTAGCTGATGCTATTTCTAGACTCTTCCCAGCACAAGCAGGAATAAGCTTAGAAACTGGACCAGGCAGGCTGTTAGACATCAGGAGGCAGGGCCTGGCTCAGGACAGTTGGAACGCAGACTAGTGGGCCGGAGGGGCTCTGGGGCACGAGCCTGCTGGGGGAGCCGTGGTCCAGCCAAATCCGGTTGGTGGCAGAAGGGACAGGCCCTAGTCCTCGCTGCAGGTGGGGTGGCCATGCCCACCGCCGCTGTCCTGAACCCACCCACGGGTGTGTCAGCATGAGGGTCAGGGGAGCACAGGCCGGGCACGGCCCTCAGAGCACTCTGAGGAGGACGCTGGCGTCACCCCAGAAGCCCACTCGACGGTGAGCTCCGACCTGCCCACCAGCAGCACCCTGCCGTGCCCACAGCATGAGGCAGCGAAGGGGGCTGCCTGAAGGGATGGAAGGAGAGGAGAAAGAAAAGGACTGGGGAAAATGGGGGGAAAGGAGTGTTGAGGTTCTCCCAGGCTCTCACCGCCATGGAAGGGGAGCCCCAGGGCAGAGGTCACAGGAGAGCTGGCTCCCAGGGACCGGGAGCGAGTCCCTGTGTCTGGGACAGGCCTGCTCAGAAGCCAGTCCCAAAGCCACCTGGGATGTTCTGACTGAAGCCAGAGCCTGTGGCACTTGGCAGCCAGGGTTTGGGCAGGGCGGGGCGGGGCGGGGTGGGGCTGCGCACCTTGATGGTGGTGGTGCTGCGCTCCTCGTACTGGCACTCACACAGCAGGCAGTAGGCCTCCACGTCATGCCCGGGCACCGGCATGGGCTCCACCACGTGCAGGCAGCTGCTGCAAAGGCAAAGACATCATGGCTGTGGGCTGTGGGCCCGCGGACGTGGCCTCCACCTGTCAGCGTGTCCCTCGTCCTCTCTGAGCTGCGACCACACCAGACCAGGTCCCGGGGGCTCCCCAGACTTCATGTCTCGGGGCTTCATGAGCCAAAGCCTTTGGGGGGACCTGAGGGACAGCATGGGGACTGCAGTTGACAAAACTAAACTGTGTGTACCTTCGAAAGGCGCTTAAATGTTCCCACCGCATGTGCACACACGGTACCTGTGCAAGGCGATGGAGGTGCTCCCTAACCCTACTTACACACATCAAGCCGTCACCTGCATCTCACACGATGCGGCACGTGACTTACATCTCGATAACACTGGGAAAAACACAACAAAAAACCAAACTCTTGGGGGCAGGAGGTGCTGGGAACCTGTACTTTCTCAGAGCCCACCCGACAATCCCATTACACAACCAGGTAGAGGCAACATTGACCTGGACCGCCCCATGGGGTGTTGATAGCCTCTCATCATGGAATCCCCAACCTGTGCTCAGCTCCCTCCAGGACTGGGGGGGGGGGGGCATCCCAGTTCCTGAGAAGCCCAGAATAGAAATGCCCCCTCGCCCTGGCCGGTTTGGCTCAGCGGTTAGAGAGTCAGCCTGTGGTCCGGAGAGACCTGGGTTCGGTTCCCACTAAGGGCATGTACCTCAGTTGCAGTTTGTCCCTGGCCCTGGTTGGTCATGTGGGTGGCAGCCACTCGATGTGTCCCTTTCACGTCGATGTTTCTCTCTCTCTCTCTCTCCCTCCCACTCTATCTGAACAAAAAAATGGAAAAATGTCCTCGGGTGAGGATAAAAAAAAAAGAAAAAAGAAAAAAGAAATGCCCCCTCAACCCACACAGACACCCTCGGCCTCAACTCTACACCAACTCACACTGAGCATAGAGGACCCCGCTGGTATGCGGCCCTGCCCCCCTGCGCAGCCTTACCAGTCCTTCTGCGACACATTCTGGTTGTAGATGTGCCCGCTGATGTTTCTATATGGCGGACAGGTGCACTTGCACCTGATGTCCTCGGAACTCTGGGGGAGAAAGCACAGCCAGGGGTGTCCTGGGCTCAGGTTCCAGCAAGACCCCCCTCTCAGCTCCCTGCTCCACAAGGTGACCACGCGAATACTCCCAACCTCTCCCTTCCCCACATTCAGCCACGAAATGACTTCCACAGGCTCCTCCAGACAAGCTGTCCAGGTGGCAAAGGAGTCACAGACACCTCAGGACTGCCACCCCCCTGTCGGGTGCTGGAGGGGTGGGGGTGGCAAGCAAAGCGACGGTTCTCTACCCTGTGCCCACACCTTGCACCTCTGTCCAGTGGTCTAGGTGGCTGGCCTCTCCCCTCTGTCTCCAACTTCCTAGGTTAAGATTGGGGGAAGGAACAGGGCAGGGTGGGCGAGAAGTGGGTGGTTTCAGAAGGGAATACGCGAGCTGCCCTTCTGAAGCCATAGGGGACAAGGCCACAGTTCGCCCCAGTCAGGAACCCCCCAGAGGCAGTGGGAGTGACCCACAGGCCCCAAATGGCGTCCCGTGTGCTAGAAGCCTGACATCAAGCCTGGATTAAATACCTGACTAGTTGCAATTTCAGCCTTTTCCAGAAACATCTTAATCAACCAATGTGGGGTTTTCTGGCCAAGCACCAGGAGGGCCCTGCGTCACAGCGCCCCTCTCACCCCACGGAAAGAAGGGGTGACGAAGAACCTCCCCTTTCTCTTCCCCAAAGGAAAGATGTCCAGGCCAGAAATACTCCATTCTTTGTTCTTGTCAACAGCTCCCTCCCCTCCCCTCCTTCCCATACAATCCGTCCACCCAGCACCCTCTCTGAGCACCACCTCGTTGCTGGGTGGGCTGCCGCCTGGCTCATGGATCATTAGTAAAGTCAAGTAGATCTTCAGGTGTCCTCGGTGGAATTCTGTTAGCTCCTCAAGCTGACCAAAGCTTCGCTGCTGACCGGAATCTCAAACTGTACAGACCTACCCAAACCCGGTGCGGGTCACTTAGTGACCTCAGGGGTCCCCGCACTGGGTGGTGACTCTCCAGGCAGAAACGTCTGTTGGTAGAGGACCCGACACCCAGAGCAGGTGGCTGCGGGCATTAGAACCACCACCTGACCCGAGCAAAGGGAGGTGTGGTCAGCTCAGGTCACTGCCCCAGACAGAATGCCAGGCTGGAATCCCACCTGTCCCCTCGCCCCAAGGCCGGTGGTCTGGCCCCCAGGGAACCCCCAGAGGCAGGGGCCCAGCCCGCAGACGGGCCCACAGGTGCTGCAGGCTCCGCCCCTCACCTTGTTGGCCTGGGCTGGAGGTGCCAGCAAACAGCTCAACGCGGCCACCACACACAGGAGCTTCATGCTTGTCGGCCTGGGGGCTGGAGACCGGACACCTGCGAAGGGCGCGGGGTGGGGTCGGCGGGGGACGTGGCCCAGGCCGCCCCTGGATGGGTGGGGGCTGGGCTCCTGGGTTCAGGGCCTTCTCCGCCGGCGCCAAACGCTGCGATCCCTTCCCTCTCTTCGGTCTTGGGGCGCCCCGAAGTAAGAGGGGGCGCTCTGGGGCCCCGATCCCCGTCCGGGCCCGCTGACCTCCGCCCGCGGCCCACTGCTCAGCGGCCCACCGCCCGCTCAGGCCCCACGGACCAGGGGCGCACCGTCCGGGAGCCCTGACCCCACGGCCAGGCCGGCGCTCGGCACACCCGGGGTCTGGGGTCACCCGGGGCCCCCCGGGCCGCCACGATCCCGCACCCCTCCCCCACACCCGGCTGCTCACCTGCGAACTCCGCGGCGGCCGCGCGAGACCCGGCTGGCCCCGCCCCCTCCAGCTCCCATTGGCTGCCGCCGCAGCCCCTCAGCCGCCGCGCTGTCGCCCGGGCAACAGGGCCCGCCTTTGCCGGGGTGCGGGGGCTCCGCGCAAGGGACCGGGGCGCATGTTTCAACCCGGAGCAGAGAAGAAAAGGGGCCGTCGGCTTTCCAAACGGGCAAGGGGAGGGGTCCCGAGAGAAAGCGCTCGGACCCCGGGATTCCAAGACTCGGGGTTCGGAGAGGGGCCGAGCGGGCTCCGGCCGGCCGTTTGGAAGAGCGAGCAACCACACAGTGAACCCGGATTTAAGGCCTTTGTCCTCAAAGCCTTGCAGTGCTGTTTAGGGGTCTGAGGGCTTGAGGCTGATTTCCGCAGGGGGGGGGGGCAGAGGCAGCGCTTTGGGGGCCCAGCATGTGCACCCGCCCGGGGCTCTGCTGAGCAGCCCCCCGCGACGGGCGCGCCCCCCTCTCCTGCGTGGCTGCCATCACTCTGCTGGGCTGGGAGCAGACCACGTGCTCCCCGCCGATTCACAGCACCGAGAAGGGGCTGGTGGTGACAGTATCTCTGGGGTCTCACATCCAAGGTCAGAGGTGCTTCGCAGAGATGGGAGCCTGCAGGTGGACGCAGCAGGGGCACCGAGGTGGGCACGGAGGCGTTTGGGCACGTCACCTGCCTGTCACAGCGTCACCTGGGTCAGAGGACCACCTTATGTCTGCTAGGGGCAGGGGGGATTTTCATTAGCTTTCCAATGAAGCCGAGGAAAACAGTAAATCAATATTTCTTTTTTTTTTTTTTTATCCTCACCCGAGGACATTTTTCCAATCCTTGTACAGATAGAGTGGGAGGGAGAGAGAAACATCGATGTGAAAGAGACACATCGAGTGGCTGCCACCCGCACGACCAACCAGGGCCGGGGACAAACTGCAACCGAGGCACGTGCCCTTAGCGGGAACCGAACCCGGGTCTCTCCAGACCGCAGGCCGACGCTCTAACCGCTGAGCCAAACCGGCCAAGGCGTAAATCAATACTTCTTAAAGAAATCCGCCAAGTCAGCGATTTCTCCACCCGTGTCCCGTGAGAATTTTTAAAACACGCAATACCTGACTAGTCAGGGGCACTGACCTCTCTTCCCTTAGATGGCCAAATAAAGAAAATGACAGCCTGGCTGGTGTGGCGCAGTGGATTGAGCATTGACCCATGCACCAAGAGGTGGCCGGTTTGATTCCCAGTCAGGGCACATGCCCAGTGGGGGGCATGCAGAAGGTGGCCAGTGGATGTTTCTCTCTCCCTCTCCCTTCCTCTTTCTCTAAAATCGATAAAGAAAAAAAAATTTTTTTTTTTTTTTTACCCTGGCTGATTTGGCTCAGTGGTAGAGTGTAGGCCCGCGGACCAGTGAGTCTCGTGTTCGATTCCAGCCAAGGAAACAGACCTTGGTTGCAATTTGTCCCCGGCCCTGGTCCGGGTCGTGCAGGAGGCAACCAGTCGATGTGTCTCTCTCTTTCCGTTTCTCTCCCTCCCTCCCACTCTATCTGAAGATAAATAGAAAAATATCCTCAGGTGAGGATTAAAAAAAAACGTTTTTTTAAATAAACAAATGACAACAGCCAACACAATAGTCATCCAGTGTGAATGAATCACAATTATACCTACTTTTTGGTTAGAGCTGCAAAGAAATAGAATATACTTTCTGGTGTGCCGCAGAAGTTTAGCCATTTGTGTCTGTGTGCCCGGAGATAACAAAGGTTGGAGGTGGTGCCTCAAGGTTCTCAGACACGTTTTGGACCAGGGGAGTGGGTCAGTGTCCTTGTCATGAGCAGCCCGCACTGCCCTCTGGTGCCCATGTGAGACATGGCACGCGCTGCCCAGCTCACACCAATCTGAGACCTTTCCCCAGGTTTGCTGTTAGAACAAAACTGATTCTGAGGGGTCCGTGTTTCAGGGTGCCTTCAAGGAGAGGTCATTGTTTGGCCATGTCACGCGAGGAAAACACAGGTCTCGCCCCATGGCTGGTGTTTTGGGAGCAGGTTCCGAGCTCCCGAGCCAGGCCCTGGGGTCCAGGACGGGAAGACAGACAAGGCCGTGGGCCCTGGACCCGCAGGGCTGGGGCAGGGACACCGGGGACACCTGGTTGGCAGCACAGTGCCTTCTGTCCAGATCAAGATCAGGAGCCACCTGGAGGGCACCTCGCTGTCCTTCTGTCTGCAGAGCGACGGGCCCAGCGCTTGGCTGCCGGAGGGCTTCCCGCTCGAGGCTTCCACGTCTGAAAAGTGTTGTTTCTACCTTACACAGACTCAGCATGGACTGTATTTTTCTCTTGTATTATCCAGGTAAAGTAAAATGTGTTTTAAGTAAAATCTGATAGCGTGTAAAAACAAAATGTAACGCTGTGATCCTTCGACGTGGGCGTTCCGGCAGCAGTAAGCACCCTCCCCGCGATGTTTCCCAACGGTCACGTCCCTTCACCCACTGTCTGGTCCCGGGACAGGGCGCACAGCCCGCATTCTCGAAGGGGGCAGACTGGGGAGAGGTGAGTGAGCCGGATTTCAGGCTCCGAGACGCGGGCGAGCAGGGAGAGGTCAGCCCGGCCCTGTCCTTCCCTGGGGCGGACGGAGCAGAGCTGAGCTGAGCGTGGAGGAGGCAGGATGTGGCTGTCACAGGCTCCGGGCAGCAAGAGGACAGACAAGACTAACACTGAAGCCCCTCAGATTCCACAGCTTTTGCTTTCAACACATAATGAGGTGCCCAGTGTCTCCCGTGGGGCTCGGGCGGGGCAGAGTTCCTATCTCAGGAGACACACAGGGTGGGGTGCAGACCTCCAGCGGTCACACCCCTCTAAGTAGATGAGCCGAGACAGAAGGAGGCGCAGCCCTGTGGTCAGGGCCCGCTGCTGTGAGGAGGGTTCGTTGACACCCAGGACGAGCCGAGCCCCCCAGGCAGAGGAGGCCCCAGGCCGGGACACAGTCCACGAAAGGCCATGGGTCCCATGAGCTACCCTGGACCAGTTTCCCCCATCCTGAGGTCACTGACCCATGTTCAAAGTCCAGACAAGAGAGTCAGTCCACACCCCTGACCAGTTGGCACACCCGCGCTCAGCAAGAAAGGTCGGGACCTGGATGGTCAGCCCAAGGTCAGCCCCAAGGTGAAGCCAGAGGCAGGGCCACTCAGCAAGTGTCCTCTCCCACCCGCGGCCTTGCCTCTGGAGCTCAGGACCGCACAGCGGAGCTCGAGAGTGTGGACTGGACACGTAGCGCGGAGCAGGCGGCTCGCCATCCCTCCGATGCATCTGTCCGGTGAGAACTGCTGCCCTCCGGACGCCGCTCGTCGCACACCGGACACTTGTCGTAAGCGCATGGTGAAAATTCCAGCCGGGTTGAGAACACGACTCCCGGGCCGACGGACAAGCGGAGGGACTCGTGAATCAACAAACAGGCATCAGGTGTCTACAACGTGTCGAGCCCTGTGCTGGCCCCGAGGCTCATTCAGCCAGAGCAAAAATGGAAAGGTTAGATATTTGCCCCGTGTCCACACAGAGGACAGCTCCGTGCGCCCAGGCTCAGCAGGGCGGGGTGGCCAGGGAGGGGAACGTCCGGGCCCTGATGTGGTCCCTCTGGCAGTACTCACCAGGGACCTCGCCTTCCAGCCATCAGTCTCTGCCCAGGCCACCCCTCTGCCCCGGCCCAGCCCCTCTGGGGGAGGCAGCGCCCCCAGAGTGAGGACACTTCTTTCCTGGGCCAGCGGCTGTCACCTGAGAAAGTGGAGATTACCCCACCAGGAGACAGGCTTGTTGTCGGGAAACACGGAGAGCTCGGATTCCCTCCCGAGGTGATTAACCCTGGAGAGAAATGTGCCCCCTTCCAGGGCATCCACCCTCCAGCCGGCTGCCCACCCAGAAGGCTGAGCCCGGAAAGGCCTGGGAGAGAAACCAGCTGGGGTGGGGGGGTCTCCTCGCCTTCCTGGGGTGTGCGGGGGACTTGGGACGGATCCCGTGGGGGCGTCTCGGGCTGCAGACCCTGGCTCCCTGCCCAGGTCTGGGCGAGAAGCAAAGGCTGCGGAAAATGAGCCGGGCTGCGGTGGCGGTGTCCTGGCCCCTGGCTCCAGGCGCCGGCTGAGCCCGAGGTCACTGCCAGCGTCCTCACCAGCTGCCCGGGTCCTGCCGATCCCAGGAGACACGGCAGCACGGAGACACTAATCCCGTTTTTACACATACTCGCTTCACACTTACGTACCTCGGATCGCACTCAGCGCCGGAGGGTTGTGGTTTAGAGGCTCTCCGCTCGGCCGCCCGGGCGCTTGAGGAACCGAGCCCGGTGGGGGCCGAGGCCTGGCTGAGCGCGGCCTGCCTCTCGCCTCGCGGCCGGACCTCCGGCTCCCGCCTGGCCAGTGGGCTAGACCACACCTGACGCGCTCACCGCCTTCGAAGGATGAACGTGAGACCCAGGGGGAGCTTGCAAAGTGGAAACGGTCCGAGCGAGACCTTCCTTCCTCTGACCCTCGTACCCATCTCGGGCGCCCGTTTGCCCACCCAGGAATGCGAGGTTCATTTTTTCAAAAAGTCTAAAATTGACTTGAAGGACACCAACCTAATTCCTTGGTCAGGAGGGTGGGAGGCCAGTCGGGGTGATGGGGGAGGGGGCTGGGGGGCTGGGACTTCCGTCCAGAAGTCTGTCCTCAGAGCCCGTGGTTGTCTGCTGGTTAGAGCGGGAGGCTGGGCATCACTTCGAGCCAACCCCCCATATAAGGGAAGGAAGCGAGCCCTGGCCGGTTTGGCTCAGCGGTTCGA